AAGGAAGGAAGAGGGAAAAAAAAAGAAAAGAAATGGGAGGGAGGGAAAGGTGTGTGCCTCAACCACGTCAGTCTTTAAAACAGAACTTACTGCAGTCAAATAAAAATGGGGGGGTCCTAGAAGAAATATCTATTTTCTTCCAAAATATGCCTTCATAGTTTCTCAAAATACACATTTCTAGAACTGGAAATTAAAATCTTGTAGACAAATACCAAGGCTATAGTTCACCTTTTTTATTTTTGTTTAATTCGTTACCAGTGATGGCACTCAGGACCTTTAGCTTGCAAGACAGGTGTGGCCCCACTGAGCTAAATCCCAAGCCCCTCACCTCCTTTTTTAGAAGACTTCAAATACAGGTCGGGGATTTAGCTCAGTGGTTCGGGCGCCTGCCTCGCAAGCTCAAGGACCTGAGATCTATCCCTGGCACCAAAAAAGACTTCAAATACAGTCACAGGAGGTTCCCAGGTAGGCTATACACACAGCCGCCTCACAACTAGTTTACGTCAGGTTATGCCTCTGAGGCACCCTCATCAGAAACACAAGACTTGCCAAAATAGCCACAGCTGACAAAGCCAGCATCCACTGCACTCTAATGGAAGTAGCAGAAGTGTAACTTTTTAAAAGCCCAAAGACTACAGTATATTTAAAAAAGAATTGAACACTTCTCTCCCATACACTTCCATCAGGTGGGTTTGGGAGGATGTTTTTGTTGTTGTGGGAGATGGGGGTCTTGCTACCATGAAGTTCAAGCTGGCCTTTAACTCACTACCCAGGCTGGCCTAGAACTCATGGCAATCTTCCTGCCTCACCCTCCCAAGAGCTGGGAGATATGTACCACCATATCTAGCTTTCACCAGTTATTTTCCACACAGACCTACACACTCAAAGCAGTAACTGCCTATGTAATTATTTCCAAGATACAGAAAATTGTTTCCTGGCCAACTGGTGAGATGTATGCATTGAGGGATCATTATACTAGAATATCCATTTTTAATTCATTTTTAACCTTGTCCTCAACCAAGAACAAAGCAAAAACCTTTGCCATATTTTTTTTCTTCTTTAGCTTTTTGAGACAGGGTCTCCTATGTAGTCCAGGCTAGTCTTGGACTCATTATGTAGCTAGCCTAAGGCTGCCCTCCAGCTCATGCCTACCTCAGCCTCTGCAGTGCTGGGAATACAGGGAGGTACCACCATTCCCAGCTGGCATAAACTTATGAATCAATGGGATCCTACTCAAATACCCTTTTTTGTAGAAATTCAAAGTTTACCATAAATTTCACCAACATTAGCCATCTCCGTTAGCCTCTAGAAATGGATGGAGAAAGGGGAAGAAAAGTGGGTCTTATTTCATTCCTTTAAAAAGAAAACATTAGGGGGAGAAAAAGGGAATGGGGAAAAAAATAAGAACCAAGATATATCATGTACAGGTACAAATTGCCAAAGATAAATGCGATCATAATGTCTACCTAAAATGTACCAGTAAACTCAATAAAAGTAAAATAAATTTTAAAAATAAGAACTTTTAATATGTAGTGTAAAAGTGACAAATAATAATATTGTACTGTGCAAAGAACTTTGGACTTCATAATTTTCACAAAAACACATATAATCTAAAAATAAACATGCACACACCAGATACACACACATGGGGAAAAGCTCAGGTTCTGGGCATGAAGAATGAAATACATTAGTGCTGAATACACATATGACCTCCTGTTTAGTGATTTACTCAATTTAAGACAGAATGGGAATCCATGCAACAATCCATTATTTTAAAACAGCAAACCACCGTGCTCAAAGCCCTTTGGGACCAGTTGGGTTTGCCTTTCATGGGAGAAGGGTGGATTTGATATTCAAGGTCATATCAGCTTGGATTTCTCTAACAGTCTACCCAGGAAGTATTTCTGAAGCTCAACGGCAGAGACCAAATATACCCTCATTTCAGTCCAGAGATTCAGCAAAATCCCAGTCCCTGAGACCTCCCAGCTGGGAACACAATTGCTATCCTCCTACAGGGAGTACTACAAGGTTTCCCTTGGCTCAAGATTGCAAGACGTCACCCCCTACACACACACACACACACACACACACACACACACACACACAGAGTTCACTACCACTCCGACAGTAGTGGCACACACCTGCAGTCCCAACTCTCCGGAGGCTGAGGCAGGAGGACAGCCAGGAATGCAAGGTCAGCCAAGGCTACATAGCAAGTTTCAGGCCTGCCTGAATTACACAGCAAGACCCAGTCTCAAAGAGTTCGCTCCCAGTGTCACCTTCAAAATAACAAAGGACTCTCATTCTATGTAGCCAAACAAAATAAGGTTAATAACAATAATGATATATATAGAAGGGAACTCAGGAGCAGGAAGTGCTGAAAGTCCCACACTCAACTGTAAGTCTTCCTCTAAAACACGAAAGAGCTCTCCCTTCCGAAGACCTCAGCAGTCGCAGAGAGGAGCAGCCTAAAGCCAGCGGGCTCCCGGGGTGACCTCGCGGGGGCACAGCCAGCCAGCGGCTCCGCTTCGTTGTGCCTTCCCCTTCCACGCGGAGCTGAATCCCGCCCGCGGCCAGTGAATCCCAACGCACCTTAACTCCTCAAAACTCCAACCTAGGTTTTGTAGACGAACCAACTCCAAAATCCAACCCCTCCGTTTAGCTTTTCAGGTTATCGTGATGATTTCAGTACTCAGACATCATGCACGACTTGCCAATCCAGGGGAGCCACCTCAAGGTTGCTGAAGGAAAGCAGCCCGCCAGAATGATAGGGAACAAGCCCAGCCCAAGCTCAGGCGGCAACGGTAAGGAAAAGGAAAGGGTGCCCCGAATTATCTTGTGGAGTGGAGTTGACAGGAGAAGCAAAGAGCACACCGTAAAAGTTGAGTAAGTTTGAACATACAGCAAATACTAGGATTAGGCAATTCAGTCTAGCACCCTCCAAAGAGTTCTGTGGCTCTTGCCTAACCAGAGGCAATGACTTAATATCCTGAAACTATGATCACTTCCAAAGTAAGGAGTCGAGAGAATATAGGAACCCAGCACTAATTAGTCACCTTTAAACTCAAACGAATTAAAGTCTATTTCCACGTTTTCTTGTTTATTTAAAAACTTAAGAGCGTTAGTAGAAAGGTTGCTGGAAACTGAGCAGACTGTTTTAAAAGATCACTTATTTTTCATAACAACATCTTGAAGCAAATTCAACCTAGCACTACACAGGTTTAAAAAAGTGACTTTCAACAGCGTTATTCCTCGATCTACCGAAAGGTCTGAATGGCCTTATAATTTAGTGATTAAACCTTTCACAAATCTAGTAATGCCAAGCACCTACAATTTTGGCCCAAGAGAAACAAGCGTGGATTTTTTTTTTAAATCTAGGAATATAAACAGTACCTTGCCTGGCCCCTCCCAGGAGGTAAATAAATTCTCTTGCACACCCTAAATCCACTCCGCTCCTCCCACACTCTCCTTTTGATCCTAATCTACAAGTGAATTGGCTCCATCTTTTCAGTTCCTGAGATTTCCTAGCAGTAACCAAAGAACTTACTAGAAAGTCACCCTTAATTGTGAACCAATTCAAAAGACTTAAAATGAAGCCCTCACCCCAGGTTCATATCTAGACGGAAACTTTTAAAAAGGAGGCACCCACAAATAGGTTAGAATTAATTCCACCTTTTTTCCAAGGTAAGTTAGCTCTTACCTCTGCCTCCTCCCCCAAACACCAGGTGTGGAAAAGACTGATGTAGCACTGTTCTGGGGGCTCCGTGTGACACATTCACTATTCCTCGGACTTTTAAAAGCCGCAGCCGTCTCCTACACTCCCTCCTCAAAGCAAGGCTACGGACGACCACGCTCACCCAATCTCAACAGTGTACAGGCAGATCTCTTACATTAACGTTCTTTTCACACGGTCCTGGTTTTCAAATTCTTGGTCCCTGTCTCCAATGAGCTCACGAAAACACTACAGTGAATAATACTAGCCCCATACCAAAATGGAGAGGAGGAAAGGGTCCCGTGGTATTAAAAGTTTTATTCGACAGCTCAGCAAAATCAAGCTGAAAGACTGCGCTACAGTCCGCAGATTCTGCGCCCCCAGGTTCAAGATGCAGGTAGCTTCTCTGGCGTTTTCCAAGGAGCCCTCGAGCGATCAAGGTGGGGCGCCTCCCAGGAGACCGGTTCCCGCGCAGATGGAAGATAGAATAGGCGGAGCATCACGAGAGCCAACAGGGTCAAAGCAACGGGCAAGGTCCGAGAGATTAAGCTTGCACCTCGGGGTGCAGCCGTGGGCCCACAAGGCTGAAAGGTAATTCCCCATGATTGCTCTGAGGCCAGAACACGCTTTTTACATTTTTACACAGGGCTTGATCAGCTTTAGAGCGGTTACGGCTCAAGACTGGAAAATCCAGAGGTCCCCTTACCCAAGAGACTACGACTGCCAAACTGTCCAAGGGAGAAAAAAAAAGTACAGGGCCGGGGAATTAGCTCAGTGGTCCCACCGCCTGCCGTGCAAGCGCAAGGTCGCGAGTTCAACCCCCAGTAGCCCCCCAAAAAAGTCCCCTTTCACTAGCGCGCACGTGGAAAGTAGTCTACACGGGCACATGCACTACACAACCAACATCCACTTAGCCAACCACTTCTTGGCTCACTCAGGAACACCAATGAGCGACACTCACAGAAAAAACGAGAAAATGAAGGACAGTGAGATCTCCGGCGGACCCACGCAAGGAATCCACGCTCGACTTTCTCGGGCTCATGCCTAAGTGGATAAAACGGCCGCCACGTTTTACCTCCCAGAAAAACGAAAGAAGGGAAGCAGGGGACTCACGACACACTTTCAAGGTCCCGATCTACCAGGTACTAACGACTGCTCCAGCCCCCAGATGAAAACCAACCTGAAATGGAGAAGGCACCCTCCCCTGCTGAGACGAGTGGGGATGACCCTCTCCGACACGCGCGAGGCTACGGGCACACAAGCGCAAGGGCACGCAGCCCACACTCACCTCGTCGTCGTGGTGCTGACAGAAGCCGAGGCGCTCCGGGAACACTGAGAGTATGGAGAAGGGCGCGCCGGGGAAGGGCGGCCCGAGCCCGAGCTGCTGCG